GGTAAAAACATCCAAACATTTAACAAAGAAATAATTCTATTTCTATACTCTTTTCCTCAAAATGGGAGCAGAGAGAAGTCCTTCTCACCACAACACCAAAACCACATAGACTTTACAAGGGGAGAAACAGGACAAAATGACGGCCCCAGATTGAAGTCTCATCACGAAGAGTCCAGGAGTCCTCAAGGAAGAACCAGCAGGTTGAACCCAACAGTGTGTGAAAGGAATTGAACTTCATGAGGAAGAGGAATTTATTCCAGGCACGGAAGACTGGCTTAACGTTCAGATATTTATCAGAGTAATTCACATCAACAGGCTGGAGGGGAAAAATGTAACTGCATTAATTGGCACAGGAAAAACTTGACAAAACCCAGCAGTAAGTTATGACTAGAAAAAAACTCTCAGCAAATGAGGAGGGCAGGAGAAGCTTCTCTGCTCGATGCAGAATACACATAAAAGTAGTGAGAAACAAGACACTTTCTCTGTGATCAAGGAGGGACAAGACATGCACGCACGTGTGCGCACACGCACACACACATGCAGGTGCACGTGCACACACGTGTACTTCCTCCCATATTGTACTGGGGCCAACTGAAAGAGCTCTGCAGGCCGGAGGAAAATTTGAGCAACAAAATAAAATAATACTGGATTACAACCCAAAGTACAGCATAAGTATCCAGGTGCCTGAACTGAAAAAAAATCAAGAATAAATGTCATTGAATAAATGGGTAAATGAGGGAAGCAAACAAGCATCCCCTGAAGGTTCCCGGTGACCCCTGCAGCTGTTCTGCCCAGGGAGGGGAGCGCACCCACCCCCTCTGACCCGGAACTGCAAACAGGAGCTTCCTTGGAGCCAAGGAACGCTGCGAGTGTGTGTGTGCACGCTCAGCTCCGGGCACATGCGGCCTTGGCCAGATGAGAAGGCTCCAGGGCCCAGCTGTAGGCATTAGGGACAGGGAGTGGTGGGAGGAACAGGATTAGGACGTCAGCAGATCCCAGCTGAGGCCCCAGGCGGTGTGGACGGTCCAGACTCCAGCAGCTAAAAAGACCTCACCACATCACTGCAAGAGCATTTAGGAGGCAGGTGACCAACGACCCTGCAAGAGCAGAGGGCCCCAAGAAAAGCAGGGAACCTGAGTGAGCGATTGCGTTGGCAGGGACCCCGGTGAATGGTGAATGGTGATGTTAGGAAGCTCCCACCCCAGTCATTATGAAGCCAGACAGTCCCCTCCTGGCCTGGCACAGTCACCCACCAGATGGGGGCTGGGGGGAGCTCTTTTGGGGGCTCTGTCTCTCAGTAAGAACAGGGCCACAGAAGGGATTTGTTGTGGGAGGTGGAAGAGGAAGCAGGCTGGGTGCCCACACCCATGCCCAGCGCCCCCAGACTCTGCATCCCATGCCCAACCCTTTTGACTCACTCATAAGACCCATACCGGTCTCCTTTACTGGCTTTTCTCATGTTAGCCAGGCCAGAATTTCCAGCCTGCAGCTGGAGACACCACTGGTACACCAGAGCTCATTTTCCCCAAACTAGAGCACCACACCCTGTTCAGCATCAACGCAGCTTCAAGAGATCATTGTTCAAGTGAGGGCAGTTCCAGATCCATCCAAGACCACCAGGTCATTCCCCAGAAGCTCAAAAATCCCCCGCAATGACTTTCTACCCAAGCCAGCTCCCCGCCTACCAGCGAGCACTTGGACTCCTTTATGATCTTCCCAGACCCACTTTTGTTGTTGTCACGGATCCATACTTTACTCTCTTCCTCTCTCCTTTACCAGTCTTTGCAAGAAAATCTCCTTCGAGGTGACTGCTTATTCTAATCTGTCTGGAATCTGATCACAGTGCTCAACAAATTTCTGGGCATTTTGCATTTGGAAAGGCAGCGACCTCCACACCGTGTGCGCGCTTTGTACTAATGAACACCATTGGCAGGCTCCTCCCCCCGCAGACATACGGCTGCTCCTGACTCTGACAAAAGCCACCACTCACCTGAGCTTTGTCCTGTGAACCTAGGCCCTGCCTGAACTTCCTGGGCTATTAGGTAACTGAGCTGATGCTACAGCCTCTGGTTCAGATCTAAGGACCAGAATTCCTTTGGAATGAGGGATGGAGGGAAGAATAGATGAATAATGGGTGTTGGCATGAACGGAAATGCCTAAGCGCTGTCTGCCCCAGAGCTGGGGACTTCTGAACTCCACGCTCTTTGGGAGAGGAGCAGGATGGTGGCTGGTGCTGGGGGGGTGTCCGCTGTTCCCTTGAAGGGACACCCTCTCTGAAACTCAAAGGGATCCTCAGAGGCTTGAGGAATGAAAGTGTTCTGTTTGTTTCTGTGAATTTTTGCTTGGAAGACAGGAGCAGCAGGACAGAAGAGGATTTAGTGGATGACAAACAGCCCCAACCGGGTTTTCTTGTTCTCAAAGGGACACACACACACAGAGGTATTTTTAAAAACATCCTTACTTAGAACTTGGATCCTGGAACAGAAGCCACCTTCCCAAGTCCCAAGTGCTTGCTGTGGCATCCCCTGAGATCACAGGCCCTCGGGTAAGAACCAGGGAGCCGTGCGGTACTTGGCCGACCACCACCACCATCAATGAAGAGCCCGGATCGCAGATGGCAGCTGTGGCCTCAGCCCTGGATCAGAACTCTGGACAGCTCCCTCTGGAGCAAGACTTGGTCCCTGTCCACCTCGCCATCCTCCAGGGCCACAGGGGTCCTGCCAGCACCTGGCCTGTGAGAAATGAGCCCAGGGCTGGGGCATGTTAGCCTCACTCCACAGACACTCAGAAATGAAAGTCACGCTCACAGAGAAAAGTACCGGGGCCATTTGGCTTGATCCTTCGGGTTATTTATAGCAGATGGCCGGAGAGAGAGGCCCACACTCATTCCAAATATTTGGAAGCGAACTACACTGGTGTCAGATCGACTTGCTCTGGAAAGATCTGCACTTTGATTATTTTCTGCTTGTGGGAATTCAAACTACTAGTAATATCGCCAGGTCTAAATTTACCTCTAGCTGTTTTCAAAGCCAGCTAAGATTCATCCCCAATTAGAGCACTTGAAGGATACAGCAAGCATATTATTACTGCATGCTCTAAGAAACACAGCGTCCCATCTTTCCGCGTTCAATGCACATTCATGAAACATTTACTTCACCATTACCTGGAAATCTGATTTTGAAAACTAATTTCTAATTGACACATTCTGAATGACCATTCCTTTGTCTGTATCAGTTGTCCTGCCCTTGGCTTCCACCAGGACCCCCGAGGTATGTAGCTCACAGGCCTCTGTTGTGAATTTGCAAAGGCTGGGCTCCCAGGAAAGCACATTTCCCGGGTTTTGTGAGGGGTTTTTTTAGAGGATGCTGGCTCTGGACAGCAGTGGACCTGTTTCCTGTCTCCAGAAAGTGGTGGGGCGCAGAGGTTTTTGTGAAACTCAGCACCACATGCACAACTGTCCCCGAACAAGGCCAGATGTGCTGCTCACCTCCTGAAAGCCAGAGCTTCCGGGGACACTGGTTTCACCCCAGGTCCAGGGGGCTGAGGGCCACTAGTCGCAAACATGGAGGGCAGCAGGGAAGAGGGGAGGTGCAGGCAATGTCCCCATGCAGAACCTTGGGTTCTGGGCAAAAGTTTCTACTTCTCTGTAGAAGCAGCCAACTCCTCAAGAACATTATATAAGCCTGTCAAACCCAGAAAAGCAAAACACATAGCTCGTAGACCATGGGAGGACCTGTGAGCAGATGCGGATTGTTCTGATTTCCAGAGTGGGGCAGAAGGACATGCTATGAAGGCTCGGCCCTGCAGATGTCTTTATGTGCCCTAAATCTCCAGCTAATCCCACGCGCACGTCCAACCGCGCCAGAAGCCCCTGCCTCCCAGGCCTGAGCTGGGGCCAGTCACTGGATTAGTGCTGCTCATTAGTGTCTGCAGTGCTCATGAGTGGTTTCTTGAGCTAAAATTAAAAAGGAATTCTGGATACTGGGTCACAGTCAACAAACCCTAAATGTGCAAGATACAAGCAAAGATGCAACTCTTGTCCTCCGAGTCACTCACTTCTTCACAAAGCATGAAGAAAGCAGAACAAAACCTATAAAACCCAGACCGAGGGGGCTGAGCAAACAGATTGGTGTGGGATGAACTTTTAAAACTCACATATAAAATGTGTCTGGCATGCGCTCCTGTTTTCAGGGGTCATAACATGCATTTTATCACGTTACACTGCAGTAAGACTACTGTGTTTTGTCGCAGTGCTAGGACATTCTTAGCCAAGCAAGAATGCTTATCCTAAGTCGCTGTTCCAGTCAAACTTATCTATGTTTAAAATAAAACTTTTTAATGGAAATGCAATCAACCTAAGGCAAATACCTCCTCTCGTATATTATATTCCAAGGAGAAATATAGAATGTGCCTTCTGAAGCACACGATACTTATTTTAAATGCCTTGTCTTTGGGATATTCTTACATAAGATATTCAAGAAGTTCCACTCTATATTCTTTGCTCTTTATGGTCTTTTATTTTTTGAGCACTAAGCTCTATTTCCAGAGAGAAACAAAACGGTAACTCTGAGGTCGGCACAGTATTATACTTAGAACTCGCATGTTTGGAATAGATTTGGAGTTGGCAAATCTCTCGGGGGACTGCTGCGGTCTCGTTAGCAATCTCACTGCATCTGGGAAGCATTCAGCTCCCTGGTGCTCAGGGGCCACCTCAGCACCCCGAAACTTGTGGGTCAAGCCTCACGGAAGGCGCAGGGATGACACACATCCCCAACGGCCTTGAGAGGTCTGGGAAATCTGTGAACACAAACATTTTCACAGCGCAACTGCTGACCCAGAAAGATCAAACCAGCCTCTGGGTGTGGTCCTGGGAATGGAGTCAGTATGCTTTTGAGGTGGCCCTGCTTTAGAGACATTGTCAGCCCCTCTACTGAAGTGGGGGGCGGGCCCGAGCACTGCTCCGCTGGCGCAGGTGCCTGGGGCTGCCAGGACGGACTTACCTCAGCGTAAAACGGTCCTCTGTACAGTTTCTCGAGACCAAGATGGGGAAGGTGAGCACGTCGCCCTGTCGAGCCGTCTTGGGGACGTAGTGCACGGCGACATTGCTGTCCAGTCGCAGCTCCTTCAGGGTGGGGCTGCCGTGGGTCTGGTAGAGGAAGACACTCCCGATTCTGTGCAAGGGCGGCCCAGACTCATCGATGTCATTGTGACCTGTCCGAATGCCGTCGGTCCTCCACCGGTCCTCCTGGGCGCAGTCCCAACGCGCGTCCCCCGGCTGCATGGAGTAGTACAGCTCCACCGGGCTGCCCTCGGGCTGCTCCGCGGCCTTCCTCCTCCCGGCAACCACCGTCGGGGCACTGAACCACGCGGCCGGGACCTCCAGCTCCGCCACGCACAGGCCCAGGTCCCCGGCGAGCCGGCAGCTGCCCCGCACCTCCCGGGTCTCCCGGAAGGCGAAGACGCGCAGGCAGGGCAGCCTCTCCGCAGGCCGCGCGTCGTCCCAGTCCCGGCCTACCAGGTGGAAGAGGACCTGCACCTTGGGACGGCTGGGGTAGATCTTCTCCCGCAGGATGGAGGCCTTCAGCTTCCAGTTCAGGGAAAACGTGTTGGTGAAGCCGAAGGGGTTGGCGGGCAGCAGCAGGTCCTGGGGCACCACTTGCTCGATGGAGAAGGGCCCATAGCTGGCGTTGAGCGCCGGCAGCTGCTTGGATTTGTAGATGAGGAAGGACTCGACCCTGGACTGCAGGCTGGAGTTGCGCATGATGTCCTGGTTGGCCTCCTTCAGGAAGAAGGACACGTCGGCGTTGTTGATGTGGTAGGTGACCGGCAGGTAGGTGGGCAGCAGGGAGAACCTCTGGATGCTCTCAAGGATGCCCCGGCTCTCGGTCACTGTCGGGAGGCAAGGGGAGTGCGGGGTTAGTAAGTCCACGCCCAAGCCTATATTGCAGCCGTCCGAATGCCCCTTCCTGACCGACGGCCCTGGCTCTGTGCCAGTGATGACCCAACATCACTCTTGATCCAACATCTCTCACGCAAATCAACCCACTGCTACTGAACACGGATGCAAAGTGCTGGGTGTGTGTTTGTTTTAGAGGAAATGAATGCCACGAGCATAAGTAGAAAATATGCAGACTTCAGCATCACCTGAAATCCAAGTTCATCACGTAAGAAGAGAAAACTCAAATGGAAGAGTCTTTTTAAATTTTGACACATGGTACCAAGCAGTGCACGTCCCAGGTTCAGGGAGGGATTAGCAAGTGCCGGTCACCTGCTCCCCACAACAGAGAGGCCCCATCCATGAGCCTAGACAGACGGAGATCGGAAACAGGAGTAAGTTTATGAACACATAGCTAGAGGGCAGGTCCATATTCCACCTGCTACCACTCATGTTCCGCCGGGTGCACACACTGCACAGAGAGACACGCTGGACAGTGGGGAGGGGAAAGACCAGGGCCCAGGCGATCAGGCTGGGCCGTCACCAGCGCAGCACGCAGTTGTGCTGAGTGATGCCGGGCACTGGGCAGAGCAGGTTTTGGAAGGACGAGTCGGGAGGGGCCACACCACACCTGCACCCTCCATGTGTCTGGGGCAGCCTCTCCCCTCCCCCTTCGGCCACACCAGCCTCCCATGCCAGCTGCACTGTCACCAATGGACAAAAACACCTTCCTGCGTGCCAAGCCAGTCCTTCCCTCGGGGGTGGGAAGAAAACGGATCCAAAATGTTATTTTTACAGTTTGCCTTACATTGTGTAAGAAAAACACAGACAGAGGAATTGCATAACGCAAAGGACCGATTTAACGGGCTTTAGAAATGGAAGCCACAGGCGGGGGCAGTGCTCGCGTTCCCAGCAAAGTTGGCAGGAGCCTCGCCGCGCACCAGGAGCCAGGGCTTGTCCTCACTGCCCTGGCGTCCTACGCCACCCACTCCAAGGCCCTCACGAACGCTGCCCTGCATCCGGACCCTCTCAGCACCTGCCTGGAGCAGCAGAGGCAGCAAAGGCCTGCAGACAGGTCGTGCGCCTGGCTCTGCACACACAGCTTGCGGGCAGCGTGCGAGTCCCGGGCCTCGTGCTCCCAGGCCGGGAGGCAGCTCCAGGGCCCGACCTGTGCCTGATGCTGCAGGTGCGAAGCGGTGTGCGGCTCACTTCTAGAGAGAAGCCGGAGTGCCAGGCATGCGTGTTCACCCTGGGCTCATGCGTGGCTCTGAGTGGTGAAATCTCTTGGGCCAGCGTCATCACCAAGCTCAGCTCGGGGCTGCTGGGCCACAGCTGGGATGGCTGAGGCCTGCACTGTGGCGAGCAGTCCCAGTGGACCCCAGTGACTGCAGAAGGCGCGGCCTCGTGCGTATGGACATCCATCTCCACTTCCAACTGCGGAAGAGTAACAAGAGACCTCGCCCCTAAAGGTCACACGCTGACTTTAGGGGAGTCAGCCCCGCTGCTTCCGCCAAGCTTCCATTTGCCTCTGTGAGCTTTGTGGAAAGCAGGAAGAGATGGGATTTTCTGCTGATGTCCCGGGTTGGAGCTTTACGCCTTGTCCTTCTTTGAGTGTCCCCTCCCAGTCACCTGGTCACGCCTGTCCCCTCTGGCTGCACCATGAACACCCACGAGCAGCATGACCTGTGGCCCTTTCTCTCCTCAGCACCCGCAGCCTGGAGGACCAGTGCCGAGCCAGGACCAGGCACTTGGTAAACATTCCACTGAGCAGAGGGAAGGGAGGCAGGGTGAAGGATGGGCTGGATATCCCGGAGTGTGGATTATGGGCTGATGTACACCTGGCCTTCTGCATTACTGTAATCAGATCCCTGAGCCTTTCATCCCCGTAAGAGCTCCGCGTAATCTGCTATGGGCCTGGAGTGGGGAGGACACCCCCGCCCCGGCACGGGGGATGCCAGCGGGACTCCAGCCCGCACACGGTCACCTGGGGGCAGCAGCTCCTCTGATGCCACCCAGGTTGGATGTCTTCAGCAGCCGTCCCAGCAGGGTGCCAATGCGAAATGACAAGGCTGTCTCCAGGCAGACATGAGCACTGGCACAGGGGCTGGGACTCAGGCTGAGCATGCACACCCAAACACAGGACACAGCACCTAACTGCACCCGACTTGGCCTCGGGTCCACAGCAGCAGCTCCTTGGACTCTACTCAGGAAGGCCGCAAGAGCCGCCGGGGAAACCAATCGGGCCAGAAACTCTTAGCTGCTGCACGTGGCCCCTGAGCCTCTCTCCCCGGCATCCGACCCAAAGGTTGTCCCTTAACAGTGCTCCGGGGTGACCTAAGGTTCGGGTTACTTCCCTCTACTCCTTTATTCGTAGTTTACAGGGCTACAAAGCGACAGCCCCCAAATCACAGTGGCCCACGTGACCTCCACCATCCCTGAGCCCCACGGGGCACTGCGATGACCACACAGTCCCCTCCCTCAGGCACCCACGGAGGAAAACAATGCCACGGTAGCTCAGTGAAGTGGCTGAGGGCTCTTATGCCAAGGCACGTGGCACACTCACATCGTCAAGCAGCTCAGCGGCCGTGCAGAGATTTTACGTTAATTGTAACATTTTTTTAAAAGACCGTTTTCCCTCAGTCAAACATTTAAGAAACACAGGGGTGAGCAGTGTGAGCACAGGACCCTATTTTTACCCCGGGTGGACTCAAAAGAAGCAAAGAAATAGAACAACAGGCGAGGCTCTGCATCCTAGCGGAGAGCTAGGCTCAGATCACACCAGGGCTCCGCATTCCCCAGACCACACGGACTCGCTCTAGCTGCACAGAGGCGGCAAAGGCCGGGGCTCCTGACAGTGAAAATACCCGCGGTGTTACTTCTGAAATGCAAATTTCACCAGGCACGGTGAGGCACCAGAGAGGGGAAACAGCGGGAAGTGTCATCGGGGTGACACTCCCTGACCTCTGGTAGGGACACAGAGGGGACCACACAACCCCGCACTACCCAGCAGCGCAGTCAGTCACCCACCTTCCACATCTGCCTCCGCGGATTCAGCGCGGTGGATGAGGAGTTCCGCACCACAGCACAGTGTGTACCGAGGAGGTGCGGACGCTTCCCTCACCGTTGGTCCCTGAGCAGTGCGGCCCATTCATGCAGCATTCGCACAGCCTCGGGTACCGAGAGTCACGGTGCGCGTTCAGTACGCAGGAGGCCACCTGTGGGTCACGTCCACCTGCCTCCCTTCACAGAAGACACCGCAGCACCTGAAGGCCTGGTGTCCTGGGACTCCCATGGTCATCATCCTGCTCTATGCATATTATTGGCACCTGTCTCCTGCAGACACCAAGGGACAAGGAGTCCCCATGCTGGGGCCAACGCACTTTGCCATCAGCTGATCGGGAGGCCCTGTGTGGATCACACAGCAGCTCAGAGCTTCCTGCCGCTGCTGCATCCCCAACAGAGGCAGTGTCGGGGACAGGAGTTCCTACGGCCATGTGGAGCTCCAGGGTGAGTCCAGCAGGCCTTTCCTGGTGACCTCCTGGACTAGCAGGGAACTCTGCGGGAGCCGAGACCTCAACGCACTCCCGCCATGGAGGAACCAGCCAGGATGAAGAAGCAGAGTGTGCCATGCCGGGGCTCACTGCGCTGGAAAGCCCACCCCCGGCAGTCCGCATGGAGACTGCACATCCCGGCCATCGGGGCAGCCAGTCAGGTGTGATGCCAGCGTGAAAGCGAGTGCTTCGGAGTCTGAGCTGTAAATCCTGCACGGAGACTGCTGCACGTCTGAAATCACACGACTGGCCCTGGGGGTCCGGGCAACGCCGGGGCCGACGCTGTCGCCACACAGTTATCAGGGAAAGAGAGCGCCACAGTGTGTGCGGCGTGCACCCATCGGTCCCCGCCACACTGGGCGCACGCAGACAGCACGCCGAGCTCCCGCCCGGGGATCTTTCCCTGCAGATGGGAGGGCCGGCTCTGGAGTCCAGAGAAGAACCTCCCGGGCGGTGCCGACGGAGCGTGGGGAAGCACCGGGCCCACACCTGGGGGACGATTCCACGAGGCCTTGAGGAGGCTGGCGAGTTCCCTTCCTCTGCTCTCCACACACACCGCCAGCACTCTTCCTCAGGAAGGCCGGCAACCTCGGCGAGGCCAGTACAGGGCTCGGGGCGGGGTGAGCCACGAGGGTGGGAAAGCGGCCGGAACAAAGCGCGAAGGTGCGGGTGCGTGTGTGAGTCTGCAGCACGGGAGGCGCAAGAGCCAGTCAATGCTGACCCACCCTTTGGGTCCAGGAGGAGCTCTCCACTCGTCCCTGCTCCCGCCCCAGGGCCCTGGCAGTGCCCCCTTCTGCTGGAAAGGCGTCCCCCCAGGCCTGCGCATCTTGGCCCAAGGGCGCCCCGGAGCCCTCCCTGCCCCTGAACACGCCGCTCAGACTCGCGCAGCAGAAACAGTCTTTTCCATTTGTGTCCTTCGCTGTACACAAGAGCCCTCCTTGGCAGGCCCCGAGAGGCAGAGACCTGCTCTGTCCTCGGGGTGGCACCTGAGAGGGACGGGACAGGAAGTCAGTGTTTGGACAGAACTGCGGTGGGGGCAGAGGCGGCGCGGGCCCAGGCACAGAGCTGCACGGAGTGAACACCTCCCGGAGGCCCGGTGTGTGGTGCACCGGGGCGCGCGGGTGAGTTCTGCGCCACACACTTGGCAGTTTGCCGGGGTAATTCCAGACATTCTCACGCTACACATGCACATGCACACACACAAGTGCATTTGCACACACATGCAAACATGCATACACACAAACATGCGTGCACACATGCACAGGCACACACGTTCACTCCCACACCCACAACACGCACACACGTAGGTACGCACACTCTGAGAGGCCGGGTATGCTAATCAACCTGGCCGTGGTCATCATCCCGCTCTGTGCATATTATTGAAACATCACAAAGCACATTAC